TCTTATATCCATTTCAAGGAGAATACAGTCATAAATTAATTAAAAATTCACCTGAGAATCTGGGTCTAAAGGAGAAGGGGTCACAGAAATAAGGAAGGGAAAACAATGGATTAGAAACCAGTTAATCTGATGTTTTTGAAATGAGATCAGCTACCTATAAATGAAAATCTGGTTGTACTTTTAGATCCAAATTTCATTCAGTCAAAAAAAAAAAGATCCTGAAAGCTTTGGATTGTTTTAATTTTTTTAAAAAATGAAGTTAGTCATGATGGTAATTGAAACAATCAGTGGCTACCTATCAAAGTAAACACTAGGGCTACAAGCTACTAGTAGACACAGGTTCTATTCCTTTGCATAGAGTTTACAGGTAAGATGTTTCAACTGGAGAGAATTATGTTACATAGTCTTATTAGAGCTAAATTTGCAGAGAAATGTAGGAGTAATGTATAAGAAAAAAATTCCAAATGAGACCTTTTAAATAATCTCCTGAGTAAGTACACATGAGTTATTATTCAACACAAGACAAAGTATTTGATTGGAGAGGCATTAAGTATGAGAGAATCTTCTCCTGACATTTTAGCTCTGAACTTTTCTTAGCCAGAAGATGAAATTAATCTCATACAATCTCTGAGCAACATAACTATAGCAAGCATTAAGTCAAGGTGTGCTGGCTGGCTCAATGGAAGACAATTATAAGTCTGATTTAATCTATCCATTGCAGTGTGCTTCACAGCAAAGAGTGAAAGCAACCTTGTCTATTCCTATATCCTCCAGGTATGTTAGATCACAACTCCAGTAATTCTCAGCCAGTATTGATTATACAAATTGGAAATCACAAGAGCAGTCTATTATGTATGTAGGGAATCAGGCTGGAAAAACTTGACCTTGAATAAGCTGGTTTCTTTAAAAACGTCTAAGAAATATCTTAATATAGAAGGCCATCAGCAGTTCAATCTTATCCACATTTATTAATCCATTTTAAATGATAGGCTTATTTTTAAAGTAGATATCATCAGAATTATTTTGTTAATCACTTGAGCCCTTTAGTCAAATATACCTGTACATGTTTGCAGCCTTTTTAATTTGATTTATCAGAACAAAATCTTATATCAGCTGATAGATATTTCAAAATATATCAGAGCTATAGTGTACTTCAACTTGTAGTGTAAATTATATTTGTCCATATAGACTTAAAAAGCAAAGAATATGCTTTTTAGTTCGTTCTTTTCAAGTGACATGTTTAAAAGTAGAGAATAAAGCTGTTCCATTGTGATTGTATAGATCTCACAGTGAAACCAGCATATATTTTTAAAATGAATATTTTCATTTAAGTATTGGTCCTATGGAAAACAATGGAATAAAATGGCTAAATGCAAAATACATGAATGGAGCCATTTAGAGAAAAAGCCCCAAAGTTTAGAGTTTTATCGTGACTCAGTAGTCCAGAAAATTTAAAGAGCAAGCTAAATTGAAGTTAAAGTAGAGAACACTGATATCTAGGAAATAAGCCCCATTGAAGTTAATGGGATTGGTTTTATAGTACCTTATGAGGATTGGGTTGTTTAATCTTCAGCATGAGACCATTCAAAGAGCATTTATAAATGTTTATTGTGACCTACGTATTACTTACATTTAGAACATTTTCAGGTGAAAGAGTCAAGAAATTACTCTGATGTAAACCCAACTATCTCTTATAGTAAGATTTTTAGTTCTTGTGGGGTTATATCCCTTGTCTGTTGCATATGCTGGCAAGGTAGCTCATAATTGCATTTCTATAGTGGTTTCAACCATTTGATACATAGAAAAGAGCTGGTGAATATTTTCCCCAAATCTGACAATAATACACTGGGATAGCAAAACATTAAAACTAAATAAAGCATGTAAAGAAGAGTTTGGAACATGAACAGAGAATTTATGGTCATTGGATGCTGCTGGCTTTGTATTGTTAGCCAACATAGCCAACAGGTGAGAAATCTGGATATCGCTGGCAAATAACACTGGGAAAATTAAATTAGAATATTGCTTATTGGTTCAGTTACCACATGTAGTGAATTTATTGAGCCATTATATGCTTAAGGCCTAGAAAAAAATCTGTGTGGGTTAAACTTGGCCACTCCGCTATTATGTATTGTTGATGTTATTGGCTTGATATAATTTGGCTTTTTTTCTGGAATAAAAGATAATTGAAGAAAAAGCTTAGGAAGCACAATCTATGTACATTTAAGACATCTCTGTAAATCTGTTGGATATGACATAATTTAGTGGATACAAATTCTTCTATTAGAATTTAGGAGCACTAAAACAAGGAGAGAAGGGTCATTTTCTGTTAATCAATGTACATAGTTGTGGTAGCACAGTGGTTAGAATTCAGGCTAATTCTGCTGACTGACAGCAGCTCACTGGCTCAAGGTTGACTCAGCCTTCCATCGTTCTGAAGTAAAATTAGGATCCAGATTATTGGGGGCAATGTTCTGATTCTTTAAAATACTTAAGAGGGCTGTAAAGCACTATGAAGTGGTGTATAAGCCTAAGTACTATTGCTTTGCTACAGTTAGAAGACTGGTTTTTTTTCTAATGCTGTTAGGCAAACTGTACCAGCCCATGTTTCCATCTTCTTTGCAGTTTTTAAAAGCACAGCCTTTGTCCAATGCCCTAATTAAGATTTAGCAAAGGATTCCAAAGAGGTGGCTTGCAATGTATGCAGTGAGACTGAAGCACCTTTCTTTGAACAGTTAAAAAAAAGCTACATCTTTTTGCAAACCTACACAACTATTTCAAAAGTTGGCTCAGGGGCCAGTGTGTGCATCACCATTTCACTTTGCTAGTTGGCCCAGTGAGAGCATTGCCTGCTTTCCAAATAGTTATGTGAGCCTTGTGGAAATTGCAGCTACTTTCATGATTTGTACCATCTATTTCAAATGCTTTGGATGAACAAGCTTGATTTGTATTTGAACAATTTATCTGTGTTCTGGGGTGGGTGGGAATGCCACTGAAAACCAATCATTTTGCCATAGAATTGTATCATCTGGGAATGCAGGATGTCCATGTAGGTGAAAATGGATCTGAATGTTTTTCCCAGACCAACCTACAACCCTCCTGATATTCTATGCATTAAAGTAATAACATGGTCCAATTCTACTTAGTCCAAATGAAGTCTCCCACTGAGAATTGGACCCTATCCCACTTGTCCTAACCATGATTCAAATATGCCTTGACAACATATTTTTTTCTAATGTGTCCCTATGACATTGTCTTCATCTGCCCAGCCTGTGAATGCTTTAAGATGTCTAGTATCAAAGAAATATGTTTTCCCTTCTAATAGAAACTTCCCTGGGCAGTTGCAAACTGTATAAAATCTGCTCTGTTTTGTCACTAGTTTACTTCAAAGACAAAATCACACAGCTGGTGATGCATGGGAATGAAATCAGAGCAACTGTTTTGAGCGAATGAGAACCTTACCTCAAATCCCTGGTTTGGATTATCTGCTTCCATTCTGCTGCTGACTCTCTAAAAGAAAAGAGAGAGAGAGAGAGCATCAATTGAATAATAGCATTAAGGTATAAGCCAGATATGCTGCAATTATTTTAACTCTGTGACCCTTATCACAAAACTGAAACAGATAGATGATTGGGCACCTCTCTACCCCAATAGTTAGGTCCTAAGTAGAATTCACTGGAATCTTGAACTCAGCATTTCTTATCTATAGAAAGAAAGGGAAATGAAGAAACAAATCCTAAATCAAAGTGTTGATTGTGATTCAGATCCCTTCATATTTCTACCTATTTCTAAACATTTATTTAATTACATTCAATTTGGGTTACAGCAGCACAGGACATAGAAGGAGGGACACAGAGGAGCTTAGAGTTTATCAACAGAGTTCTACAGTCAAATTGGTCCATTCCGCTTGCATTGCCAAGACTGGCAGATGTTTATCCCACAGGCTAGTGATGTGCAGAAAGAGAAGATAGTAAATTTGGAGGAATCAACCAATTAATTTGCTTATCAGCTCTACACATGCAAAATCAAGAACACCCTTCAGCAACCAGTTGGAAGAACCTCAATAGAAGCATGCAATTTGGTGCCAGTAGCATTTTCTGCTGATTCAAGTTTCAACGAGAAAAAGTCCTAGGGTTCAAACTCCTTGAGTCAGACATAGATTGGGATATAAAAATATAGTTGGATGCAAATTTAATTCTATCAGTACCAAATATAACCAATTTTTACAAACGATTGTAAAATAATTTTCTCTTATTCATCTGATCATTAGACATTAAGGGGTATGTAAGATACTTTTCAGAATCCATTTTTCTTTTTGAAGTGTGTTTCCCTCCCATGTTCTCACTACTGATTTTCTGATGTATAGAAAGGCTGCATACTTTAAAAAAATGCTTTGTTCATTGTTTATTTAAGAAACCAACATTCAACTGCTGTGTTGTTAATAAAAGTAGGGTTTATTTTTAAAAATGGCAAGCTTGTTCCTGGAGAGAAAAATGTGTGATATCACTTGGGGTAACCCATCAGCATTCTGCAAAGCTGTAGACCAAATCTGGAATCTTTATATTCTACTTTGCAAAGATGGGATAAATGTATCAACCATAAGAGACCTGCTTCTAAAGAAAATGAAGTAGTTCATTCAGATTTGTTCTTATGTTTAAACAGAAACACATATTCTTATGTATTTAGAGATGCTTTATCAAGATAGCATCTGTGGTTAAAGACTGGTAATATTCATCTTTCTTCTCCTCATGCAGGAATGTATTCATTCCTCTCCTAACCAACATGTTTATACATGCTGTCAGTGCTTGATAAGCATTTTGGTAGAGATGAAGTTAAAATATTGTGGACTATTTATTAATGAAGCACTCTTAATATTTAGCATTGGTTTTTATTCATTTTCTATCAGGTTTTATTTATTTTTTATCAAGTTGTTAATCATGGAAGTTCCTTAACAGTTTCTTTTCTCTCTCTTTCTCTCAATAGGTAATTCAACATCTGCCAGGATGGAGAAGCTACCCCCACCAAGCATAAACTTGTGTTTTGGACCAGAACATGTCCAACAGCCGCATATGAAATTTTCTGAATGGAAATTCAAGCTGTTCAAAATAAGATCTCTTGAAAAGCCTCTTTCTGAAGACAGCCACCAGGCTAACTCTGCTAAAGAAAATGTGACAGGATCTCTGGGAGTCACTGACGAACAACCCAAGGCAGCAACTGTAATGTCACAAGTGCCCTTTGAAACAGCCCCCGAGTTGAATAAAAATAGCTTGGCAAAAGAGAAAGTTATCTTTCACATGAGCCAAAGTGAGATGGAAGTTCACCAAGCCAACCTGCAGCACCTCTGTCGCATCTGTGGAGGCTCACTGAAAACTGACCCTTACAAAAAGTGTCATCCAGTTCATGGGCCAGTAGATGAGGAGACCCAGGCTCTTTTGAGAAAGAAAGAGAAAAGAGCCACTTCCTGGCCTGATCTTTTTGTCAAAGTTTTTAAGATTGATGTAAGGGGAGATATTGACACAATCCACCCTACTCATTTTTGTCACAATTGTTGGAAAGCCATGCAAAGAAAAGTCAGCAATGCCCCCCATGAAGCACATCTTCTAGAGAGAGACCCAGTGGAATGGCATCCCCATTCAACAAGCTGTGATGTTTGCGTCACTTCCTTTCGTGGCATCAAGAGGAAAAAAACAATGCTGAATTCACAGCTGAGCAAAAAACTCAGGATTATTGCTGGACATACGAGAAAAATAAGATGCATAAGAAAGGTAAAGCAACTGAATAACAAAAGTTTGATGAAAAAGATTTCAAACTGTAAGCAAATCCATCTCAGCACAAAAATTCTTGCAATAGACTACCCTGTGGACTTTGTAAAGTCAATATCTTGCCAGGTCTGCGAACACATCCTGGCTGATCCAGTAGAAACAACATGTAAACACTTATTCTGTAGAGTCTGCATTCTTAAATGTCTTAAAATAATGGGAAGCTATTGCCCATCCTGCCGATATCCTTGTTTTCCTACTGATCTAGTGAGCCCTGTAAAATCCTTCCTAAGCATCCTCAACAATTTGGTTTTGAGATGCCCAATAAAAGGCTGTCATGAGGAGGTCTTTTTAGAAAAATACTGCCAACATCGTTCTAATCATAAAGGGGCAGAAAGTACAGACAGCTATGTCTATATCAACAAAGGTGGCCGACCAAGACAACATTTGCTTTCACTGACCCGGAGAGCTCAAAAGCACCGCTTGAGAGAACTCAAGCTTCAAGTAAAAGATTTTGCAGAAAAGGAAGAAGGAGGAGATATAAAGTCTGTGTGCCTAACTTTGTTCCTGCTAGCTTTGAGATCTAGAAATGAGCACAGACAAGCAGATGAATTGGAAGCTATAATGCAAGGGAAGGGATCTGATCTTCATCCAGCTGTTTGTTTGGCAATCCGAGTCAACACCTTTCTTAGCTGCAGCCAATATCATAAAATGTACAGGACAGTAAAGGCAATTACAGGAAGGCAAATTTTCCAGCCTTTGCATGCTCTCCGAACAGCTGAGAAGTCCCTTCTGCCTGGTTATCATCCCTTTGAATGGGAGCCTCCTTTGAAAAATGTGTCCAGTAACACAGATGTAGGCATTATTGATGGGCTGTCAGGAATACAACAGTCTGTGGATGACTACCCAGTGGATACAATTGCAAAACGTTTTCGATATGATGCAGCTTTGGTGGCTGCCCTTATGGATCTAGAAGAATACATTTTAGAAGGACTGAAAACGCATGACTTAGATGACTATCTGAAAGGACCTTTCACGGTAGTGATTAAAGAATCCTGCGATGGAATGGGAGATGTCAGTGAAAAGCATGGCTGTGGCCCAGCAGTTCCTGAAAAAGCAGTTCGATTCTCCTTCACCCTCATGAGCATCACTGTAACTCATGACCATGGCAGTACAAGGATTTTTGAAGAAAGCAAACCCAATTCAGAGTTGTGTTGTAAGCCTTTGTGCCTTATGCTGGCTGATGAGTCAGATCACGAGACCCTCACTGCCATCCTGAGTCCTCTTATAACAGAACGGGAAGCCATGAAAAATAGTGCATTGATACTTTATATGGCTGGTATTCCTAGAATTTTCAAATTCATATTTAGGGGCACTGGGTATGATGAAAAGCTTGTCCGTGAAGTTGAGGGTCTGGAAGCATCAGGCTCTACTTACATTTGTACACTTTGTGATGCCACCCGCCTAGAAGCCTCTCAGAACCTAATCCTGCATTCTGTAACCAGGAATCATGCTGAAAACCTAGAACGATATGAAGTGTGGAGGGCCAATCCTTACCATGAAGCTGTTGATGAACTACGTCACAGAGTGAAAGGTGTTTCTGCCAAGCCTTTTATTGAGACTGTGCCTTCAATAGATGCACTTCACTGTGATATTGGCAATGCAGCTGAATTTTATAAACTATTCCAGTTTGAGATTGGTGAGGTATACAAAAATACCAGTGCAACCAAAGAAGAGAGAAAGAGGTGGCAGTCAACTCTTGACAAACACCTTAGAAAAAAGCTAAATTTGAAACCTGTAACAAGGATGAATGGAAATTTTGCAAGAAAACTCATGAGTAGGGAGACTGTGGATGCCGTCTGCGAATTAGTAAAATGTGAGGAGAGACATGAAGCCCTCAGAGAATTAATGGACCTTTATCTTAAGATGAAACCAGTATGGAGGTCTTCATGTCCAACCAAAGAATGCCCAGAACTTGTATGTCAATACAGTTTCAACTCCCAAAGATTCGCTGAATTGCTGTCGACTAAATTCAGTTATAGATATGGTGGGAAGATTACCAATTATTTTCATAAAACACTTGCTCATGTTCCAGAAATTATAGAACGGGACGGTTCCATTGGTGCCTGGGCAAGTGAGGGAAATGAGTCAGGCAACAAACTGTTCAGACGCTTTCGAAAGATGAATGCCAGGCAGTCAAAATGTTATGAGATGGAAGATGTTTTGAAGCATCATTGGTTGTATACTTCAAAGCATTTACAAAAATTCATGAATGCTCATAATACATTGAAAAGCCAGATGGTCCAAATTAGTCCAGAACAGACTGAGAGTGATCTCATGATGATGGAGGATTCTTTGGAGACTTCTGATTTCATGGACTTCTAAGTGGAATTAAATTTTGCATTGGTCTTGCAGCTGAAAAGTCAATATTCATTTGCATACAGAAATAGTGGAGATGGTTTTTTACACAGAGCTGTAAAAACCTTGAGGAAAGCTGTTTGATGGTGGGCTGTGCTGTTCTGACAACAGGTCCATAACACGAAAGTTTGTATGAGCAGATGTGGTCTGGCTTAACAGCCAATTTTAAAGAGGAAAACAGAACCAAAACCAGTAATGATTTTTCTGTGACCACATTTAAATACTATGTAGAAGGTAAAACAGAACAATTTCAGTAAAATTTGTAAAAGGTTGATGATAACATATTGCTTTTATAAATATTAACCTTTTATTAGCCAAGAGCAAATATTGTCCCAATATTTTAAAAAGGGAAGACAGAAGACCTGGGAAACTAAAACCACTTACTTTGAAGTCTATTACTGATCAAAATACTAATACAAATAGTGAAATAGCAAGTTTATAATCATTTAGAACATAATTTAATTAGCTATCTAATTAAACATTTTCTTTTTAATGGCTTCTGGCCTCCCATTCCTGATAAATCTGCAATATGGAGGCATTTATACACAGGCCTATTATTTCATGCAATTATAATTCTGGATAGTAATTCAATATTTTAAAAAGTAATTTCTAGTCATTTCATTATCCTAAAGGTTTAAATTTTAAATAACCACAAAGAAAGATTTGAAATAATGTTTACAATTTATTTTAAATTAGACTATATATATAGTTACCAGAAGTTATGTTCATCTTGAGGGAGTCTTTACCATTTATGTGCCATGAAGCCAAAATATAAAACTATGTCATTTCTGTTTAATATATTTTTTGAGTTTTGAAAGAGTTGACAAATGCTGTAAATGGATCATGGTGTCAGTTTCTTAACTTCAGCAGAGCTTAGCAAAGATAGGATATATTTAAAACAATACATTTAAAATACTATATAAAATAATACATATAAAATAGATATGATTTTGCTACTTTTCATATATCTAATTAAAATGAATGAGATGATGTGAATGGAAGTTACATATAGCTAAGTCATAAAAGAGAATATTTGTAGCTTAGAATTGAAATGAGGGATTCATTACCCAAACTAGGTAACACCATCAGTGCTGATGATGTTACCTAGTTTAGGTAATGAAATATCTGCAAGAAAACAACCAAACTCAGAGAGCACCAAGGATGCCTCATAACTAATTTATTCTGGACTGGAGATAGAATAAATCTTCTGCCATCAAATACATTTTATGAAATTCCCCAGTTCATCATAAAGCAGAATTTGCTAGCAGAATCCTATAGTGTTCTCTCACATTATGTTATTTTTGTAATGCTTTATAACAGGAATAAAGGATCAGTGTCCTTCCAGGTGATGTTCGATTATAACATTCAGCACTTCCTTGAGGTTGCAGTTCAATAAGAGTTAGAGGGAAATGAACTTTCCACTTTCCATTATTGACTATTTATCTGGAAGGACTGTTTGGGGATTATTGCTTGGGAAACATTGTTCAAATACTTTGACAGAGCAACTGGTTTAGCCATCAATATAACACACAACTTTCCCCATTATAGCCAATCTAAGCTAGGTTAAGAGGTTTAAAGGGGTTAGAAGAACAATGTGGGGAAGAAGGAGAGAGCTATAAGGATCCACACACAGTTCACAAAGAACAGGTTTTCAAGATATTCTTGAAAATAGATCCAAGAAATATTCTATAGGAAATGCTTCTCCGTCCAGAAGCTTCTGATGTCAGATTGCTTTGACTGTTGTGCTTTTCAACCTTAGCAACTTTAAAGCCACATGGACTCCAGCTCTGGAATTGGACGTTGAAGTCCATGCATTTTAAAATTTGGCAAGCTTGAGGAACATTGCTCTACAAGCAGAAACCAATGACTTGGGAATAGTAGTGATGGGATAATTCAAATGTGGTTTCATTGATCATACATGTTTACATACTTATAACTCTTTATTGTCATGGGAGCAAGTCATGGAATGTGAAACCACATTGTTTCATTTCTGGTAGATATCTGTCACAATTCCATCAATAATTTCTTACAGCTTAGAAGAATTCTCCTTGAGTCTATTTTACCTAACTTTGCTTTGCGTTTAGCTGCCTAGTAGGATTGTAATTAATATAAACTTAGGCTTTTTAAAATGTTGCTTACCTACAGAGTAGTCTATATTTATAAAAATATTTACACATTAGCATGGCACCAACTACATGATATGTTTTGTATTTGGTTGGCAAAGTTGAGCAAATATTTCTATTGATGTAATATCAGACTGTTTTTCTTTAAATAAAATGAATTCTATTTTAAAACGAACACTTGCATTTTATTTTTACATAAAGTTATTTAGCTGAGCAACAGAATTTACAAAAGGACACAGACATACACCCAATACTTGAGATAAACTAATTCATATTCTTTACTTTTAAACAGATAGTTGTTCATATATTGAATATGTTCCTTTTATCCTAAGCATATTAGTTTGTTTCTATTTATAACTTGATGCCAAAGGCAGATTACAATGGGGGTGGGGTGGGGGCAAGAAAGTGTTTCTTAACAAGGCAGTGTGCTTTGTCTTCTCATTCTCAAGGAGCCAGAAAGTTTAAAGAGACAGCAGAAAAAATATTACATCTGAGTTATGCTTTCATTCAGAAGAAAGCTAGGATGCTATGTGCACCTTGGTTAAATATAAGCACTCTGAACCTCATTGCTTTTTTAGGAGAGCCTTAGGAGTACAAGTAGTTGTCAATTATTCTCATTTGAGACATTAGTTTGGAAGTTACACTTTGACTTACACAAGACTCTTGGAGGGTTTCCTTGCCTTGTGTTGGTACCAAGCAAAGGAAAGACTTTTTTTTAAAATATAATTACTGTATATAAGCTTTAGTCCCCATTTGTGTTTTCTTGTTTTTTGTCCATGTTGCTTAAATAAAGGTGTTTTTTTAGCTGAGAGATTGGGAACTCATTTAGACTAAAATGAGACTCTTCCAAATGATTCTTTCTGCATGGAAGAGGAAAAAAATAGCATAAAAGCACAGGCATGCATCTGAATGAGATGATTTTTTTTTTATATTGACTCAAGGCTAAGCAAAATGGTTTATTGTGAAGCTTGGGAAGTTCTGAAAAGGCTATAAATAAGTGAAAGCACTTAATACTTTTTCTTCTCTTCAAAATTACATTTCCTTTCTCCACTAAATGGGTATAAATAAATTCTCCTCACATGCACACATCTTTAGTTGTGGGTTTCTTTTTGCTCTTGTTATTAAATTGCTCAAACTGGGATTTCAGAGTAATCGTTTTCAGTAGTTTTTCTATCTAAAGATTTATGTGTCTTTGTCGCAGGATCCACAGCCAAGAAAACCTGACTGAAGCTAATTGGATTAATTCACCACATCAATTTAACTATTGACAGAATTTCAGATTCATTTTGATTTATCTACTTTGAGGGTCAGGAGTGAAGCAGTATACTCTGGAACAATACCTCATCCACACAAAATACTTTCTATTGGCTCACCATATTCTTTATAGCAGTGTTTCTCAACTTCAACAACTTTAACATGGGTAGTTTACAACTTCATGCAGGCTGGCTAGGAATTCAAGGTGTTGAAGTCTACCCATTTTAAAGTTGCTGGTGTTGAAAAGCAATTTTATAGCACTGGAGTTAAAGACATTTCCCAAAAAGGCAGCAACCTAAGGGCAATATTGGTTGACTTTAGAAGCAGTCAGGGTTCAATTTGAGTGGTATTTGAGTGACAAATCTTCAGGAAATGCCAAGACTAGGCTAGATTGGGAAGTTTTTTTTTTTTTAAAAAAAACCACTACTTTTATAGTGTTGCCATGAAACCTATATCATGGATGAGCTATGAATTCATCATGTGAAAAGAATTTGGCTTCATTTCAGAGTTGCTTGTGACACAAATGTTAATATCATGGAGAGGTCTTTCAGTGAATAACAATATAATTAACTCTCTCTTCATAGTATTTGCTTTACTATACTGGTTTTAATCATAATCATTTCCCGATTCTCATTATTTCACCTCTGCAATTACAAAGGTTACTATCCTAATCTGGTCATCTTCAAGGATCTTCACGAGATGAAAATTCTGTACTAATCTTATTACCTCTGTGAATAGCAATAGACAATGAACTTATGATGTCCAGATACAAAAACAATGTCCTAAAGTTCAAATGACACAAATAATATTTGTCCAGGAAATGTTTTTCTATTTTCATGATCTATTATTGTCAAAACAGCTTTTGAAATACATATTTTGTTATTTCCTTTAACATGGTTGAATATATCTCGTGGACAAAGCTATTAAATGCATTCAGAACATCTCGGTTCAGTGGTGAGGAACACGTGGTCTTCCAAAAGTCAATGAGCTGCATCTTTCCCTAATTCAAGTTCTCATTTAAACTTCTCATCCTACTCTAATCACAGCCTTTTCCCCATAATCTTTTCTTTTAGCCTTACTTTTTTTAAACTGATGCTAGGGTAAATGACTTGGAGCAATTGCAGTTCATCCAGAAGGGCTATGCAATGCTTTGGTTTTGGGGACAAAAATATGCTTTGCAGCCTGTTGGGGCACATATAGCACTTAGAAGCTCCTTAAAGCAGCTGCAGCTGTTTTCAGGCTCACACAGCTGCCGTCTGCCACAACGGCAGTATGATCTAAGAAAAAAGATGCATTTAAGAAGTTTCAGATTACTTGCTTGCATCCCTGGTTTACTCTGAACTACCTTTCTGGTTTCAAATAAAATAAATCACAATTATTTGAAACAGTGACAATTGATGCAGACATATCTTTGGAAGACAAATAGCAGATTTTCCTAGGAAAAAAATGACATAAATATTGAAGGCATTAACAGCAAAATAAGGTTTATTAAGTTTTCTCATTTCTCTTTACTTTGGTTTTAAATCACTCCTATAGAATACAGATTAACAAGGTTGGAAGGGACATTGGTGGGTTATAGTCTAATCTTCT